CCTCGCTGCGGGGAGAGCGAAGGGATCGGCTCCTGGGTGCTCGGCAAGGCCAGCCCCGGGCAGGGGTGCAGCAGCTGGGGCTGGGTAGGGATCCAGTGTCCGATGGGGAAGCTCAGCCTGGGCTGGGAGGTGAGGGGAGCTCGTGGCCAGTGGCCTTTCCTGGGAAAGGGTTGATCCTGCTGCTTATCTGCAGGGTATGACAGCCCTCGAGCTTGCGCAGAGGCGGTGCCCAAGCGGCTTTCGGGAAGTCCTTGCTGTGGCTTTCCGCTGGGGTGACTAACCCTGCCACGGAGTTATCAGCTCCTGTCCTACCTGCCCGGAGGGAGACGCCTGGGGCTGTCTGCCAGGGCTGGAAGCTGAGCCCTGGGTCGCCTGTGTTGTCCCCTGAAGGGGATGTAAAGCTACAGGGCCCTGTCCCGGGCTGTGGGATGAGCCGTGCCTGCCCTGGAAGGACCCTCAAGCCTGTGGGTCTCCCAGGAGGATGTGCTAAGGCCATGCCTGGTCGTGCCTCATTCCTGGGTACCCGTGTGCCCTTGGTAGGAAGGGGGGGTTGCAGGGCACCCCCTGCACCCAAAGCAAATGGGGGTCTCGCTTAGCTGGGCAGCGGCAGGTCCCAGCAAACCGTGGAGCTGTGCCCAAAAAAGGGAGCGTGCCCCAGCCGCTGGCGAGTGTGCAGGAGCCCAGCGTGGCAGCTGGTGTGGGGGTGCTGGTGCGGGGTGCCGCCCCGCTCGCGCTCCCGAGTGGCACGGGGAGCTGGCAGCACCCATGTCAGGACGTGGTTTACAGCCTGTCCTCATCGGTGCACCCAGGGTTTTTTATTGCTCCTCCGATTGCCGTCACCGCGGCGTGTTTGCCTGCCGCTGTGCCGGTGAACGGCAGTGACCTTCCCGTGCTGCCGGGCTTTCCCTTTCCCTGTGGACTAAACCCAGCTCTCCCTTCCCTCGTGCAGAATGGGATCGTTCACAGAGACCTGAAGCTGGAGAACATCCTTCTCGATGCAAACGGGAACATCAAGGTGAGAGGCTGGCAGAGCCTGGCCGTGCTGTGGGTGTCCCCCAGCAAAGGGGGTCTAAGAGGCGCTGCCCAGTGTGGATGGACTGGGGGTGGCCGCAGCACCCCAGTCCCCCCAGGGCACGTGGTTCTCTGCAGCTCTGGGAAGCATCTGTCAGCTCTGGGACCGCTGGCATCAGCCTGCGCTGCTGTTTGCCCAGGAGGTGGGCAGCCGGGAGGGTGCCTGTCCCTGCCCCCTGCTCTCTGTGCCCGGCAGCTGAGCGGGAGAGGCTCGGTGCCGCCTCGGTGCCGCCTACTAAAGCCATAACGTATATCTGAGCGTTGATAAGAGGGCAAAGTCTGAACGCTAAGGTCAGAGCACAACTGCCTGGATGAGGAAGGGCTCTCCCAGTGAAAGTCCCGATCCCTGTACGTGCCGGCCGGGCTGGTGGAGGGAGGTGCAGGGCAGCTCCTGGCTCTGCTGGCCCCGAGCGGTGCTTTTTGCCTTGGCTGGGAGTGCTGCAGCCGCCCGGGGAGGAAGGGCACAGCCGCAGCCGGGAGGCGGTGCGGGCGGGCGGTCGGTGATAAACAGGCTGTGGGGCTTGATCTCTGTAAGGGGTAATTTTGCAACTGGGAGCTCGCGAGCAGGGACTGTACCTTCTGCTCCCTGAGAGGTGATGGGTGTAATGAGGGTAATGAATGCCTGCGTGCTAGGTGGAGCAGACAGGGACTGGAGCAGCCTCGTGTGGCTCTGAATGAGCTGGAGGAGAGCCCGGCAGCTCTCCCTCTAACCACACCTTTGCAGCTGCCTCTGCCCCCAGCGTGCTGGTGATGGGACTGGAGAGGCAGAGCCGCAGGGCGGCTGCTGCGGTGGCTGGGATGAGCTTTCTGGGAAAAGGAGAGGGGCAGGAGCAGCCTCGGGGTTGGAAAGCCAGGCTGCCGCGGCTCCCTGGGGAGACTGTGGGCACCCAGGACCAGGGTGCCAAGGGCAGCCTTGGCTTCAGCTGAGCTCACCGCTGCTCCACCTGCGAAGGGGAGCTTTGCTGCTTGGTAACAGCTATAAATGTCTCTCTAGATCGCAGACTTTGGCCTGTCCAACGTCTACCAGCAGGACAAACTTCTGCAGACTTACTGTGGCAGCCCTCTCTATGCATCCCCCGAAATCATCAACGGGAGGCCGTACAAGGGCCCAGAGGTAGGTTGTGCCTCACCCCCTGTGTTGGGGGGGGAACATCTTGATTCCTCTTTTCTTGGACTTGGGAAAGTGCTGGGTGTTTTCCCAGCGGAGCATTGTGGGCAGAGCCCTGCCTCTGCGCTTTGGGCAACAGGTCCCCAAAGACCAAGTGCCACAAGGTTGGTGTGGGCAGCCCCAGCGGGGTGGACGCGGTGGGGTGCAGGTGGCTGGAGCTGCCCCTGCACTTTGTCCTCCCCTGGGGCTGCTGCCATCCTGGGAGCTGCTGCTGAGGGTTTGATGGGGGCTCCTGCCCGGCTAGGGTGGGGGCCAGGGCAGCCTGGTCCTGCTGCCCCCCTCCAAGCTCTTCTGTCCCTTTTGGCAGGTGGACAGCTGGTCCCTGGGTGTTCTCCTCTACATCCTGGTCCATGGCACGATGCCGTTTGATGGCCACGACTACAAGACTCTGGTCAAGCAGATCACGAGCGGGGACTACCGGGAGCCCACGAAGCTGTCAGGTAGGCAGACCCCCGCCACCCTGTGCATCCCCCTTCTCCGCTTGTTCCCTTCGGTGTCTGACCTGCCTTTTCCCCAGATGCCTGCGGGCTGATCCGGTGGATGCTGATGGTGAACCCGGAGCGCCGTGCCACCATCGAGGACATCGCCACGCACTGGTGGGTGAACTGGGGCTACAAAGTGCCCATCGGGGAGCAAGAGCTGCTGCGGGAGAGTGAGTCCCCCCTGGCCACGGTGGCAGAGTGGCTTCGCCGCTCCTCCCGGCCCCTCCTGGAGAACAGCTCCAAGGTGCGATGCTTCTTGAAGCAACACATCCCCGGCGTGGCCCTGGAGCGGCAGCGCTCCCTCAAGAAGTCCAAGAAGGAGAATGACGTCTCCCACGTGCTGCAGGAGGTGGCCCTGGCCCCGGAGAACCCCTCCAAGTCCATCCTCAAGCGGCCCAAGGGCATCCTGAAGAAGAGAAACTCCTGTGAGCAGAAGGTGCCTGGCCTCGGCCCCCCACCAGCAGCGCCCGTGGGAGAGGCCAGGGGTGAGGATGGCGAGGTGGCCGCTGCAGGTCTCACCCGGATCCTGTCCTCCGGGGTGCTGCCTGGCAGCACGGGCATTGGAGCGGTGCCCACGGTCATGCCCAAGAAGGGAATACTGAAAAAGCCCTCGACGAGGGAGTCGGGGTATTACTCATCCCTGGAGTGCTGTGAGTCCGGGGATGTCCTGGACGCGGGGAGCTTGGACCTCGATGGGAGTGTTTTTGCTGACACCCCCTCCCCAGAGCAGGGTCCCCAGGGTCTCCCTGCCCGCAGGAAAGGCATCCTCAAGCACAACGGCAAGTACTCCTCTAGCAGCACCGAGCCGGAGAGTCCCCCCGGGCAGGGTTTCGGGGGCTTCGGCGAGGTGCCCCTGCCGC